CATCAGTTATCAAGGGTACTCCAAAAGTAGCCATGTTCTTAACCACTTCTAATGTCAAGTCAGAAACATCCCAGGGAATTTGGCTTTTGACCTCAAATATTTTTAAGTAGCCCTCTTCCAGGCACAAAATTTTCAGAGTCACCAGGGGTTTTATTTTGCGAGTGTTGCAGCGGTCATTTTCCATGTGGAAACCTGAGTGCTAGCCAGTCTGTCCCCTCAGTGCAGTGGGGAATGGGTCCCTGCAGCTTCAGCAACCCCCATGGAAGGGACCCCCAGGCAGAAGCGTTCAGGTCACTGAGATCTACTCATGCCTTGTGCCTCTTTGGGAAATAAAGCAGTTGCAAAGCAACGCGTGGTAAATAAAGCCCACTGGGCTAGTCTCTAGGCAAGTATCTCAGATGTTCTGAGATGTGGGTAAATTTCAGTTAACCCCAAAATTATTTCCACAGCAACCACTTCCCTGTAAGAACGAGTAACTCAAGGGCTTGCTTCCACTCTTTGCAAGACCACCTATGATTCCAAGTCCCACGTGGACAGGCATCACTCTTTCCATACATTCTTTACACAATTAGGCTAAACCAGCCATTATTTCTTCACACCAATTTAAGAATTATGACTGCTGGTACATTTTGTTTTGTCTTCAGTTTCTCCTGACAAACGCAAATAGCCAGAGGAAGGTCCTTTCTAGTTTTCTCAGGAGAACAGCTCCACCAAAGAGATGATTGAGAAATGTTCTCACTTGAGCTTTGCCTGTAAAAATGTGTTTTTTCAGGGAGTAACTCTCACCCGCAGAGCCAACCACATGCGTTCACACACCAGCAGCTGAACACTGTGGTTTAGGATAATGTTCCTTCGCCCTCGAGTGGCTTGCCTCACCCTAGGTCAAGCAAAACGTTTATTGTGTCTTAATCTGAAGGACTGGTGCAAAATGACATGTCACATGCTGTGAAGGCACAGCTGCTTCTCCATCTTCCTTCAGGCATTCAAACAGTTATGGCAAAACTTTGCTTTCTCCAAGCCTTTGGCTTCCCTAAAGGTGCACACATGGCCTGATTTACCTGCCATAAATATGTAGACACATTCCCGTTGCTTTCTGACAGAAACAGCAGAAAATCCCATTCCAAAGCCATTTTACTCTCTGTTGACAGACACCTTTGAAAGGATGTCAGATCAGATTACACGAATGTGTTTGGAGATGATCCCTGAATTGCTAGGACTTGGGTGAAGGGGGTGGGAAGTCTTACACTTTGGCTGCATTTTCAGCACAGATTTTTCTCCTCCTCACTCTGGTATTTTTCTTAAGTCCTACCATGGCTGGGACAATCTCTGTTTGCTGTTCATAAACCCTGGGGGACCTGTCCATTTTAAAAACCAAGAAGATTTTCAATAGCTTTTAGGCATTTAAAGATGCTAGTGACTTCCTGGCAAGGTCTTCAAATAACAAGAACTGGCATTCAGAAACAAACTGAAAGACCTTCACCTTCTCTCTCTCAGTACATAACTAACTGGGATGAGACAGGCAGTGAGCTGAAGCACTGAAGGACTATCCCAGGCACCCCTCACGCTGCAGGGGAGGATTGTCTTATAGTGATGGTGTCTGACAGCGATAATCCTGCTGGACCCACTGCCAGGAGACAGTGAGCAGTAGCAGTCGCATACACGACTACCACATTTCTCATCAAGACTAATTATGTCTGATCCCTCATTCCTTTGGGAGCGGAGGGAGATTCAAGACGTATGGCCGGTGCCGAACGCAGGCCACTTCCCAGGTACCTGTGGCAGATCCCAAGACCCAGACAGCTCATGAGGCCACTAGGGAGGCTCTGACCTCCTCCCACGAAGATGTCAGCCAAGTCCCATGTAGCCCGAGGTTGTTCAGTAAATAAACCCCCACCTTCCACCTCAGCTGGTCACAGGCACCAGCCCCAGCCAAAACCAATAGATGAGAAGCAATTTGTCATTCCCAGGCCACACTGTTCTGGTTATGATGAGTCAAAAAACACTAAAGGAAACACAGATGTAGTGAGATCACCTCTCTTTCTGGAGCCTTCCTATCTCTAGAAGTCTTGCCTGATCTCCCTCAAAATTTCCACACACGCATACAAGAACCTCTCATGTGCTGCACGGTCAGGCCTGTTAAACCCCAGGTGCATTGCGTGACACCTGGCAGTGCTGAGGCAGCTTGGCACAAGCAGTGGAGGTTGAGTTCACCCTGAGCTGCGGGCAGGCTGGTGCCTCCCCGTAGGAAATTTCTTTCAATTATTTCAAATAGCTCCCACTTGCACACAAAGCCCATGTTTCGTAATAAAAACAAGGAGAAAAATCACATCCAAAGGAATTTTACCTATTTCCCTCTCCACTTATTCCACTGAAGTTATCTTTTTAAAAAAACAAACCCCAAAAAACTGGCCACCAGAATAACAGAGTAGCCAAGATGTTAATTTAATAATGTCATTTGTCAAAATCCACCCTGTCCTTCATACTTGTAGGTTTCAACAACAGTCCTGAATCACCCAGTGTCTTCTGATTTAAAAAAAAAAAAACAACGTTTCACTCATTTCTTTCTTCACAGAGGCAACGCTTTTCATTTGGGAGAGATGCACAAAATGCTGCAAATTCTCCAGTAGCTGGGATTTTGAGGCAGGTATTAACCTACTTGGCTACAGAGAGCCAAAGCTGCAGCTACTCACTCGTGATGGTAGTAGTAGATCCCAACAGAGGCAAGAGTGGGGATGCACCCCTCCTCCCCCACACACAGCCTGTCCTCGCAGGCCAGTGCCACTGAGCTTTAAGCAGAAATGCCCTGTCCTGAGGCCCAAATCCTGTAGCTCCCAGCAAAGCCGCCAGCTTTGGGCTAAAAGCCACCTTCAGCTCTCTGGAGCTGAAGCGTTTGCTGAAATGCTTTGCTGAACAAGGATAAGTGACTGTGCTTGGGCTTTAGCTACACTTAAAAACTCCTGTACATCTTGGCTCTGGTTTTCTTTGCCACATGGCAGCTGGTTACATCCAAGACCTTAAATTCCTGGGAGAGAAAGTGACTGTAGAATCTCAGCTGTGCAACATATGCTCCATCTAGTGTTTATTCACTAATATTTCATTTTCTTAAATGGTTTGTTTTGCTGTTAACACATAGTTCCATCTTTTCTCTAGTTCATTTGTCTATTTAGAATTATTATTGAAAATACTAACCTTCTGCTGGTTGTTTTACCGACACAATTTTGATATAGCCTCCATTTACACCTTCAGTAACAATGATACACTGATTTCCATTGAGAGATTACACCGCACATAACACAATTAAGGAGAAATGTTTTAAAAGAGCAGAATGCATTTCTCCAGGTTCTTCGCTAATGCAAAGTGAATGGAGAACTTTGAGCAGGAGTGAAACATAAAAATTAAACGACACCCAGTGTTACCACCTGGTTAGTAACCTTCACCACAGCACAGAGCAACGAGAGAAGCCGTTTCTCTGGGATGGTCTGTGACAGCCCACCCAGTGCTTGAGCCAAGCCCAGGGCCCAGCAGCTTCTGGGAGTGAGTCAGGAGGAGTGTGTGGTGGGGCTTTTCCTGGTGCCCAGCTTGGGTGCAAAGCATCTTTGTGTGGTGGAAAAGCAAGGATAGGGAACAGCCATCAGGCTTGGCAATTGCCACGTGCATTTGAAAAGAGCAAGAATTGCCTGCTGGGCTTGGCTGTGGGACGGACTGCAAACACTGAGGTAAGCCTCAGGCTGCCTTCAAATTTGCACTTGTTTAAGGAGTTCCCAATCCCTGATTTGCTGTTCACCTACAAGTAATGCCCTTACTGCAGAAAAGAAAGCCAACAGCAGATGGGACAAGAAGTCCCAAGCTTATATTTTGATAAGGAAGGAAAAAAAGAAAAAAAAAAATTATTCTGTTAGCAGGGCTGTTGAGGTGCTGGGATGGGCTGCCTGGGGAGGGGACAGGGTCTGCAGCTGGAGAGACCTTTAGAAAATAGTTGAATATCCCCAGAGAAAGGCTTGGGTTGGCCCATCCTGCATGGAAACAGTAATGGCCCAGACAGCCCCTAGATAGCCCAGTTCTGGGTGAAGGCTGAGAGGATCAGAGCTCAGTTTAAGGAGGAGAGCTGGCAAGGAGCTGCGATAGAAATGGAGAGCCTCTGGGCTCTGCAGCCACAGGGCACAATCCTGGGCACAGATCTAAGCTGCAGAAACTGAGATTTTGTTGCTATGGAAAGCACAGCAGAAAGGGTAATTTAGTTTCCTCGGGCTGAAAGTGTTTAAAGAAATCCCCACATGCCCCTTACTGCTCTCCCCCTGGGCTGGTGCTTGCAGCAGAGCTCCCCAAACCTTGTGTCAAGTGAGAAAGTGGGTAACTGCAGCTTGGGAATGGGAGGGAGCAGGTTCCCCTACAGAGAAACCGCAGAGGGAACCACCTGGGCTGTGCGGGGTAGTATAAAACTAAATGCACATCACAGAATCATCTCGGTTGGAGGAGACCTTGAAGCTCCTCCAGCCCAACCATGAACCTCACCCTGACCGTTCCCAACTCCACCAGATCCCTCAGTGCTGGGTCAACCCGACTCTTCAACCCCTTCAGGGATGGGGACTCCCCCCCTGCCCTGGGCAGCCCATTCCAACGCCCAACAACCCCTTCTGCAAAGAAATACTTCCTAAGAGCCAGTCTGACCCTGCCCTGGTGCAGCTTGAGGCCATTCCCTCTTGTCCTGGCGCTGGTTCCTTGGCTCAAGAGACTCATCCCCCTCTCTGCAGCCTCCTTTCAGGTATATAGATATATAAGGGCAATTGCTCTAATAGCACTGTTTAAGTAAGAGCCTCCAGTAAACCAGACACAGGCCTGCTGCAGGGTGTGCTCCAGGGCAATGCGCAAACCAGAGCCAGCTTGCAGAGGTTTATGTCCAGTTTGCTACAGAAGATGAGAGCAGGTCAGCCTTGACGGGAAACACACGACACGAAAAATCAGTTTTCTGCCAACTGTGGGTTTTGTTGTGTTTTTCGCAGGTGATGGCCGGGCTGCTCTTCCCTGTGCAGCTGCTGGCAGTGGCTGTCACCATCTACCTAGAGCTGGTGAGGTCTGCTCAAGGCGGCGTCTACTATGGGATCAAGCAGCTGCCACCCCAGATGCCCCAGTACCAACCCCTTGGACAACAAGTACCTCACATGCCGCTGGGCAAAGAAGGCATCCCGATGCAGCACATGGGCAAGGAGGTGCCCCACATGCAGTATGGGAAGGAGTACCCCCACCTGCCTCAGTACATGAAGGAGGTGCCGCAGATGCCTCTGCTTGGCAAGGACATGGCTCCCAAGAAAGAGAAAGGTAGGCTGGCACGTCCCTCGCCACCCCCTGCACAGCCCTGCCAGGTGCCCCACAGCACTGTGTGCCCGGGGCAGGGGCACTGGAGATGGGGAGTGGGCTGCTGCAGGCTGGGCATGGCACCCAGGTACCCCAGGGAGGGGGACAGAAGGGGCTCCCAGGAGCCATGGGGCAGCTCAGGGTCACCAGAGCAAGGCCAGAGTCATCCTGCAGGCAGCAGCACAGCCCCTGAGCAGCCTGTGATGAGCCTCCAGCACCTGGGGCTGTCCCCAGGTTGAGGAGAAACCTCATAATCCCACCTGCCTGCAGAAAACCTTCCAAATGAGGGACCAGGGGCCTGCCTGGAGGTGCTCCCGCTCTCACTGCAAAGACTAGGCATGAAATAAGAGCTAAGAGCCCCAAGATTTGAATTTACAGGAATATTATGGCTTTGTCTGCGTTTGTCCAGACCCTGTGATTTAGAGGTTTGCCAACAGAAACATAGAATTGCTCTTCTGACTCCACAGGCCTCTTTGTGTAGCTTGTTTACGGGCATAACGGAGGCACTGGAGGTACAGGGCACTACTGCACGAGCCCACATGTACTAGCACTTTCAGTATTCAGTAAAGGAGGTTTGGACAATATTAGGATATTTAAAAAAACAACAAAAAAAATGTCCAAAATACAAAGGGCAACCAGAAACACCCAGTGTCATAAAATCCTTATGAGGACAGCGAGTGTCTGTGCCACTTCAGACAAGCTGGTTAACTCTTTGTCTCGTTGAGTGTTCAGTGTAACCACAGCCTCCGCTGGCTTCACAAGGAAATGGGAGATTTCAGGGCCTATTTTTGGAGTGTCTAAACCAGCACAATTGGCTGTAGTAAAAACAACCTATCTTGTGAGCAAAGGCGGTTTTCTACGTGCATAAAACACAACATGTACAGAGGGAGGGTTTCTGCCTCCCACAGAACAGTTAATTCTCTTGCACTGAAACCTCATCTCTCCCTTTCCCCAAACCTCTCACTTCTTTATCCATCTTAAAGCCAGAGAAAAGCAGACTTTACATTTAACACAAAAAGCCTGCAGCTTGGAAAGCAACCAACCCCAGCACAACCACTCCCATGCAGGAACTCCCTCACCCTGACCTGCAACGTTAAGTGGTCACATACACAAAAACATGGGTTTGGAGAATAAAAACACGGAACTAGACGTGGCTACGGCAAAAACCTGTAGGAGCTTAGCAACACTGGGTAAGGCCGTAGGTTTCCAGTACTATCTGAACGGAAACCAAAGCCCTGCCATACACACCTATGCAGTACAGACTTCCAATACAATTTTTAACTGATCTTGCTGGTGTAAGCCCCTCCAGCAAAAGCACTTTTATGCCAGAACTACTCCTGGAGCACGAGAGCACGGAGCAGCTTCTGTGACCTGCAAAACCCTTAAAAGTAGCTTAGTCTACAGCAACATAGGACAAAAACCTATGTCCATCTGTTTGTAGACAAAAACATCCGTCTTTTTGTAGACAAAAACCGTCTACAGCAACGTGGGACAAAAAGCAGATTTCGCTGCTTAGGATCACATAGGTAGAAAACACTAGCAAAGTGCAAATAGCTTTTACATGGTAAAAAAAGAAAAAAAAGCAAATATGATGAAAAAAAAATATTTTATGGGAAGAGAAACATGTACACAAGGTTGGAGTATGCAAAACAGTAGAAACACCCTCTTTCCAAACATCAACCTGTAGCTTGCTGGCTAGCTCTGCCTCCCTTCCCGCCACAGAACTAAGAGAGGCATCATAAAACGCACATTGAATCCAAAACAGCCTTTGTGTTTCTCAAAGAGTGCAACTGCAGTAACTTTTTGTCTCTCCCCCTTCCCTTTTTTTCTCTTTCATTTCTCCCTGACCCAGAAATGCCCGTGCGCAGTCTGAGGGGTGAACAAGGTCCCCCTGGTGAGCCTGGACCAAGAGGGCCACCGGGGCCACCAGGATTACCAGGTCATGGTGTGCCGGGAGCCAAAGGAAAACCGGGCCCACAAGGATATCCAGGAATTGGGAAGCCGGGTTTGCCAGGGATGCCGGGGAAACCAGGGGTGATGGGGCCCCCGGGGCCAAGAGGGGAGATGGGGCCGAAGGGGGAGGTTGGGCCCATGGGGATACCTGGCCCGCAAGGACCGCCAGGGCCTCACGGGCTTCCTGGCATAGGGAAGGCAGGTGCTCCGGGGCTGCAAGGGCAGCCGGGCCCCAAGGGCGAGCCTGGGATGAAGGGGCCCCCGGGAGCCCCCGGGATCCCAGGGCCAAAAGGGGAGAAGGGCGTTGGGATCCCGGGTTTGCCGGGGCTGAAGGGTCCGCCTGGGCTGCCTGGCCCCCCCGGCCCCGTGGGGCTGCCAGGGGTCGGCAAACCAGGCATGGTCGGCTTCCCCGGCCCGCAGGGACCCCTGGGCAAACCCGGGCCCCCAGGAGAGCTGGGGCTACAGGGACCCCCGGGTGTCCCCGGGATCCAGGGCCCTCCCGGTGTGCCCGGAGTGGGCAAACCCGGCCAGGACGGCGTCCCTGGCCAGCCGGGTTTCCCGGGTGGCAAAGGGGAGCAAGGCTTGCCAGGCCTGCCCGGGCCTCCTGGCCTCCCCGGCGTCGGGAAGCCAGGCTTCCCTGGGCCCAAGGGTGAGCGTGGTGTGGGAGGCCTGCCCGGGCCCCTGGGGCCAAAGGGGGAGAAGGGGCACGCGGGGCCACCTGGCATGGGGGGGCCACCAGGGGAGCCAGGCCAGCCAGGCCTGCCAGGCATCATGGGCCCGCCAGGGGCCGCCGGCTTCCCGGGACCCAAAGGAGAAGGCGGCGCCGTGGGGCC